TAGAGGGTGTGATGATATCCTGTTGCACAAGCATAAGAGCCTTGGTACTACAGTGGTTTAAAGCACCCTGTTATTAACACAGCTGCCTGCAATTTACTGCTGGTTCGAATCTCTCCAAGGCTCAAGGTTGACTCAGCCTTCCATCCTTTCTAAGGTAGGTTAAATGAGGACCCAGTTTGTGGGGGCAATAAGCTGACTTTGTATAAATATACAAAAGTATGAAGGCTATTGCTTAACGCACTGTAAGCCACCCTGAGTCTCCGGAGAAGGGCGGCATATAAATCAAATTAAAAAATAAAAAATAAAATAATAATACTGGTGGTTCTCAACTTACAACAGTTTGTGTAGTGACTGTTCAAAGTTACAACGGCACTAAAAAGTGACTTGTGACCATTTTTCACACAGCATTCCCAGGGTCATGTGGTTTACATTTGGATGCTTGACAACCGGTTCATATTTATGATAGCTGCAGTGTCCCAAGGTCATGTGAACCGCTTTTGCGACCTTCTGACAAGCAAAGTCAATGGGGAAGCCAAATTCACTTAACAACCGTGTTACTAACTTAACGACTTCAATGGTTCACTTTACAAATGTGGCAAGAAAAGTCGTAAAATAGGGCAAAACTCACTTAACAAATTTCTCATTTAACAACATAAATTTTGGGCTGGATTGTGGTCGTAGGTTGAGGACTACCTGTACAATGCTATTTCTTTGTGAAAACATTGGGCCAGCTTATTTAAAGGTTAGTTAGAATTGAGAAAGAAATGTAAGCTTGTATATGCAAAACCACAGATTTTTGAGTTATTACAGAGCCAGCTACTTTGCTATAGAATGTCCAGCTGACTGAAAAGTGGGCACCTTTAGACCGATGATACTATGGATCAGCTGACATCACTGTCAGCGAAACTTTTTGGCAAATGGTTTGCGGTAATCTACGGTTTCTGATCTGCCGGTCTGAATAGTTTGGGACCAATATTAACAGAATTGTTCTTCCAGGTCTTGTCTTGACTTCAACAGTTTTATGTAACTTCCATTTCTTAACAATGCTTGCCAGAATCAAAACTGCTAGCTGGAAGTGTTTTTGTTTTGCTTTTAAATAACCTTCTCCTGTTTTGTAAGAATGAATTGTATTCATTTTCAAGTCTTCACACAGCTGTTCAGAAGAACCAATGTACATTGAAAGTAGATGGAACTCCAGTGCCAGCCTTAGAGTGTCAAAATATTCATTTATCTGTAGAACTGTAAGCCTGATAAGTCGGCCACTTTTTGGAATCTCTGAACAACTGTAGATGAAGAGTAAGATTCCATTCCCATTTGCAGAAATATATAAAGATTAAATAGCCTTCGTTTACTTAACAATTGAGTGAATTGTACCATTTAAGCAGGGATGCCTAACATGTGCATGAAACTGTATCTCTGGATAAATGCATATGTAATAAAACATATGCATAATATAACATTATAACATATATTTTCTTTATTGAAACACCGCCTATTTCTTGTAAGTAATCGCATAGTTATGAAATGAAAAATTAGTTTTGATACAGATAGGAAATAAGGTTAAGCTAGCACAACACCCCTGAGTTAAACAGTAATTTGGTATGTTAATTAGTCATTTCTTGGATGGACTTGTATATTGGCCTATTTAGAAAGTAGATCATGACTGAAGAAGCAATAAATGCAGACAGATCAAGAAATATAAATCAATTCCTTAAAATGTGAATTTCAGGAATTGTTTCTTTAGTAAATACGTACTTCCCCAAACCGTATGAATAAGCTTGGCATGAGATACAGAATTCAATGGGAGTCAGAGCTTGCAGAGAAAACTGAAAACTCTCCATCTTTTCCGAAGATCATATTAGCAACTGAGATAGTTTCCTGACTTCTAATTCCACCTTGTTAATGAAGAAGCAGAGAGAACGTCCAAACAACCGAGGTTGGGAAGCTTTTGGGCCAAAAGTTTTGTTTTAGTTTATTGTTGGAGAACTTCATAACTGCAAATGCTGTTGATCTGGTTCTCCCGTGCTTTTTCATCCAGTATTGACCCACTTTCTGCTGGTATTAGAACATCGCTGATGTGTCAAGGATGCACTTGTTCCAAAAGAAGCTGGGAAAAAAGAGTCCGCCTTCCTATATTTGCCAAAAGTGAGCCCTGTTGGCCTTCCACTGTTTTGCTGGCGGCTGAATAGCATGCTATCTCTTTAAAGCCAGGATAATTTTCTGAACTAGCTTGGTCAATTTGTTATGGTTTAAAACTGTGGAGCCAGCTGTCTGCAATCTGATGTAATGTTGCCATGGAAACTAGAAATGAAACACTTAAGCATTCACTACAGAATTTCTGCATCCGACATTAGCCAAAATAATTAAGGCTTGAGCCATTAGGGGCTTTTGAATGAAAGGGGTGGGGGCTTACAGTGTGGTCGAAAACCAAGCTGTTCCTGTTTACAGTATTGCAATTCCATGTGTTTTCTTCTTTGAAACATGCAAAGAAATCGCTTTGTAGAATGACTGCTTTCCAGATAGAGGGTTATATGTGTTGTGGGGCCCTCTCTTTTTTTGGCACAGAGTTACTGGCTATGTCGAAACATTTTCAAGCAGAAAGCTGCATGCCTGTAGATGCAAACGACTCAAAGTTGTTGAATTGGAAGCATTCTGACCTCTGAGTGGGATAGCCAAAGTGCCACATGCTGTAAAATGTTCCCTTTTGGTATTAATATGCAAATGCCTTTTTGTGTAGGGAATTACTTAAAGTTGGGCCAGTTCATACTTTTCCTGGAATGCATGTGTATTCAACGCAGCAGCCTCTCAAAGAGCATTTTTCTCTGAAAATGCTTACACATATCCAAGTGCAAAGAGAAAGAGTGCATCTATAAGAGTGCATCTATAATGTCCTATTTTATTTTAGAGTCCAAGCAGGACAATATGGCTGCATTTATATTTGCACATAAAGCTAAATTGTTTAAATAAGGGCCCAAATCACTGTAGCGTGAAACAGCGACATCCAGATCACAAGGAGTAATCATTTGATCCTACTCAGCCCTGGTCAGACTCCAGTAGGAATTCTCCAGTAGGAATTCCAGTAGGAATTGTGAAGGCCAGAATTCCAGTTCTGGCCTTCACAATTCAAAAATGATGATGGCAAAGGTGAGCCACCAAGATCATGAAAGAACTGTGGAACAAGTCCTATACACCCTCAGAAGGGGCAGTAGGTGGCAATTGATTTGCTTTGTCCTATGTGGCTAGTGTGATACATAGGTAAAGTTTTCCCCTGTTCAGTCATGTATGACTCCAGGGGGTGGTGCTCTGTTTCTTAGCCGAGGGAGCCAAAGACACTTCCCTGGTCATCTGACCGGCATGACTGTACGACGAAGTGCATGGAATACTGTTACTTTCCCACCAAAGTGGTGCCTATTTATTTACTCACATTTGTATGCTTTCAAACTGCTTGGTTGGTAGGAACTGGGATGAGTTAACGGGAATTCACCCCGTTGTGCGGTGCTCGGGTCTCAAACCTGGGCTGTCAGCTTTCCAGCTGACAAGCTCAGCGTCTTTAACTGCTGAGCCATCGTGCCCCCAGCTTGATACATATGGACATTATATACGTTTGCTGTTAAATAAAACCTATTTTGTCCAACTTAAAACACAGACAAAAAGGCCCAATTTCAACCTGGCAACTTAAATGACCCAAAGTTCACCCACAGGAAGCTGCTCTTGGGGTTCTGAGCTGGGAGGCTGGAATTGGGATGAATTGGTCAGGTCTGTGTGTGAAAGCAAAGGCCAAAATAGAGTCTTTGGAGAGTTCCAGCTGGAATCTTCTCCGCTCCTTGGAATGCAAGGCTTGTACAGTGGCAGTTCTGTACTGTAAAAGCCAAGAGTTAAGTCTCCCTCTTCTTCTGTCCCCATCCCCCCCACTTCTTTCTTTTGGTCTCCCCCTTTCTACTTTCGCACACAGAAATTCTAAATGGGGCCAAACAGAGGAAGTAGCATATTGAGCGCTGGGTCTGGCTTGAAAATGAGGGCTCTGATTTGGTTCACAAGGAATGGATTGTTTCAGCCTGTGGTGTCACTGCTGCTAGAGAGGAAGGATTCTTTATGTCTCTGTAATGCTGGATACTTGAGGGAAAACAGCTGGAACGGAGCAGGCAGCATCAGATGTGAGACCAAATGGGAAGCTGGGGAATATGGGCTAAACTAAGAGCCTGCAAAGGTCAGAGTTTTCCTTTGGTCAATTCTTGAGGAATGCTCGGTCTGTATTAACAGCCAATCTTGAGAATCTTTAGAATGAGAAGCCCGGCATGGGGATAAGATGGAAAAAAATTCTATGACTATAATTAATAAAATACATCGGAGTGGAGAGGATGAGCTCTCCTCTTCGTTTCCCTCCCCTTCCCTCTCTCCCTCTCTCTCCCTTCCCACCTCCTCGTTTTTGCTGCTGTTGCTGTTTTTGATTTTCCTTGTTAAGGCTGGAAAAAAGGAGTCAATGAGAGTGTTTCAGTTCAGCGCAGAAAAGCAGTTTCTAACCAGGCTTTTCAATGTAGAAGTTTCGCCAGGCCAGAAAGACCATTGCCTGACCCAAACCACAGGAGCTTAACTAACAAGGCTCAGAGAGTGCTAGGAAAAGTGTCCTGCCTGGGCTGTGTAGGGAAGCAACGTGGAGATTGCTATTATTACACAATGTGCAGAGGCAGAGAGGACGATGAGGGCTGGAATACCTTTTGGCGTCTGAGACCTTACTTTGTGCTAATTTAGAAGTGAAAATGGTATGTTCCATTCTTTTTAAAGTATTCTGTGTATGTGTATGTGTGTGTGAGAGAGAGAGACAGAGAGAAACAGAGAGGGGGGCATGGAGAGAAAAGAAATTGTGAATATTCAGGATGAGAGATGAATTGTTTCAAGTTTCAGGATTTGCCTTGTTTTAGGACTCTGGAAAAAGAGACACTTCCCTGCCTTGAGCTGTGCAACAATTCCTCTACTAACATTTCCTTTTGCTTCCCTGCCAGTCAAGAGAGCAATCAGATGATGAATCAGAAGAATCAGTGAAGTTTAAGAGACTGCATAAGTTGGTCAACTCGACTCGCAGAGTGAGAAAGAAATTAATCCGAGTGGAAGAAATTAAAAAGCCCAGCACTGAAGGTAAGAATTTAGCAGCTTTAACAAGAAGATGTGCTGGCTAGTGGTCAGAATGGCGTGGTGGAAAAGAGAAGGGTGGGTGTGCCATCCCTTTGGAAAAGCATATGAGAAACTTTTACCAGAGAAAAAGAAGAAACATTTGGTCGCCCTCTGAATTGATTTTTTTTAATGCACTGTGCTCAAATTAATCAGCTGGATCAGAATAGCCCTTTGCATTAGCAGTCTAATTTTATGGCTGTACTCTCTTGTACACTGTTTTCTAGGTACTGTTATCTACCGTGGTTTTTTTGTATGTCTGTGGCCGGATTGTCTTTCTTCTTTTACTGCAACATAATTTATTGGGGACAGTCTCAAGTGAAAAGGCTATAGAGAGGTTATTATTGGTGAATGGATGGACTGTACCAGACAAACTTTCACTACCTTCCCCCCCTTATCATCCTATAAAAATGTGCAGTCCTGAAGTGGCTTTTTGGGAAGTGCACCCGGAGCAGAAAGCTCTATCAGCCAAGCCTGAAACTGGACAGAAACGGGATAGACCCAAGGAAAGGGGCTCCCTGATCCATAACCTTGACTACCAAATTCATTAGAATTCTTAGTTCTGCATTTGTCAGTATAGTAGGAGAATCTGCATAGTGAGTATATACACTTTTCCAGGAAGTGACTAATGTTTCATGAGATTTTCATTAATGAAATGTAATAGCGAGTACCAGATTAACAGTTTGCAAGGAATAGAGTTCTGGTAGGAGCAAAAGATACATTGCCTTTCTGGTTAAAAAAAAAATTTTTTTTCCTAAAAGCCTTTGTCACTTTGCTTTGTTCTTTGCATTTTTTCCCCTGCAAGTTCTGAAGCCAAGAAATGTGACTCGTAAATGAGCTGTGTTGTTGTGGGGGTGGATTTGAAAAACTGTAAGAGATAATGCAAGTGGGGCTTATCCCATAAGGTTAGAAAGCGAGTCAGTTTCTCGTGGGATGCTGAAACATCTGCCTGACCGAAACCACACCCTTCAAGTTTGGCAAATGGTTCTTTCAGAAGGAACGATGAACTTGTCAGAAAATAGACATGTATCATTTGAATAGAAGTCAAAGAATGCCACAATTGATTCTGTGGACAGAGAGAGATTTTAACCCTTTAAAGTAACATATAGTGAGTTTCACTTTTACAGCATGTATTTGGATTTGATTTTTAAAAATGAAATGACAAATGGACATTAAATATTATTCTGCAGCAATAACTATTTATTATTCTAATATTATTATTATTCTATTATTTTCCAACAATAACTAATAACTAATTATATACATTTAAATTCAGGAGAGGAAAAGAGAGGCCTGATAGAGATGTGATTTTTTTTGTGTGTGATAATAAAAATATCTAAGGAACTCTGACCTTTTCTAAGCTCTTGAAATCAAAGGCAAAGAAAGCTTGTTCCACACTCAGTTACTCTACGGGTAGTCCTCAATTTATGACCACAATTGAGCCCAAAATTTCTGTTGCTAATTGAAACCTTTGTTAAGTGAGTTTTGCCCCATTTTCTTGCCACAGTTAAGTTGTTCACTGCAGTTGGTAAGTTAGCAACCTGGTTGTTAAGTGAAACTGATTTCCCCATTGACTTTGCTTGTCAGAAGGTTGCAGAAGGGGATCCCATGACCCCTGGACATTGCAGCCAACATGAGTCAGTTGCCAAGCATCTGAATTTTGATCATGTGACCATGGGGATGCTGCTATGGTCGTAAGTGTGGAAAACGGTCATAAGTTACTTTTTTCAATAATGTAACTTGGAACAATCACTAAATGAACTGTTGTAAGTCGAGAACTACCTGTACTGGTTTCCTATGAACTTTTACTAAAACCTTATATTTTTTAAAAAATATGTAATTTTAAAATAATACATTAAGGCTATGCAGGCTTATCCATATTTGGACCGGGAAGAAAGATCAACAGAGGCTAGGAATTTATCTTGACATACATAGACACACTATATTTGTAATAAGGGTTGGATTTGACCTCTTAACTCAAAACATTTTTTGAAGCTGAGACCATTGCACTTTTGGTCATTTGCTATGGTGATACATCGCCTTAATAGCTTATTATTTTGATGACTGCATTGCAAGTCAAAAGGGGGCATTTCAGCCTTCGTCAGATTCAAAATCTGAAGTTGTGATTGGAGCCAGTTGTAGGGACCACATAGCACCTATGTTCAACTCCACCAGTTGCCAGTTTGTCTTCAAGCACAAGCAAGAATGTGTTTGGGACCAGATTACTAGAATACAACATCTACCATTTTCTCTGCTCCCCAAACTTCCCATGCCATAATTGCTCCTAGATTCTGGCCTTTCTTTTTTGGAGAAGTTCTCATAGACACCATTAGGCAAAAATGTTTCCACAGTAAATTCTATTCCTTTCAGCTTTTCACTATTGGATTTTTTTTAATTTTATTTTATTTTGTATTTTTAGGATTGCAATTTAATCATTTTAAGTTAGGTTAGTTTACTTTCTGCAGAGTTTTAAGTCTGCATTGTAATGTGAATATGTGCCTGTTAATTTTTAATATATTTAATCTTTTGGTTGTCTGCTCTTCCAGCCAACATTTGAAGAATGTTTGTGTTTCTTTTTTTCCTCATACAATGAGTCGTAGCTCTTGCTATTCTATAAATATGTAGACATTTCTTGCTGTGACCTTTCTAAGCACAACATTAGCCTTTTTAGAGTTGATGAAACCCAGTGCACACTTTCCTTTCCAGGATTTTACTTGAGAGGAGAATCAAGTTAGCACACACACTGAATGAATGTATTGCAAGATTTGAGTTTAATCAAAACATTTGGAACATGCAAGTTAAAAGTTAAATATTCAATGTATTTTGTTGGATTCTTTCCCTTCTGTACCTTGTTCCTACCGCCAAAGTAGATAAATATATCATAATATAGTATGGATTTTCCCTCTCTACTAATAAGCAGGAGGAGGAGGAAAGGAATTTTTTAAAATATAGCTTTCCAAATAGAGTATTTCTATTCATACATGACTTTCACTATATTCAGCTTGACTATAGGTATAGAGAGAGAGAGGATGGGTTATGATACCTATCATTTTCCTTAACTCCTCCATATAATCATAGATACACAACAACTTACAACACAACCCTACTTTCACCCTTTCTTACTTAAAATGGCATGCTCTGTATGAAAATTCCCTCAGACAGAAATTCTGTCCACTGTTTTGCAAGGTTATTGCCCACAAACGTCATAGGCAATAAATTCACAATCGGTGACACTATATTAAGCCCAAACTACCTATTTCTAATTTTAAATTCACTTCTTTGGCATCGTTCACAGTTGTAGAAACAAAACAGGCTATATCCAGAGCTGCTGCTGCTGGCTCCTTCTGACATTCCTTTAAGTATATGAAAACTGACAGACCACTCACCGCATTTCCCTTTCATTCATAAACTCAGTCTTCTGTATCCGGTTTTCCTTTGATCTTCCTATCTATTTCTCATTTTACTTTATTAACTACATATATATAGTTGAATTTATTCTTGCACAGTAAATTTTATTCCTTTCAGCTTTTCACTATTGGATATTTGTGTGTATGTGTGTATTCTTAGGATTGAAATTTATTTTAAGTTAGGTTAATTATTTTCAGCAGAGATTTAGCCTTTTCCAAAAATCATCTAATAATGTTGAGGCATACATCAGTATGCCAGTATTGCTTCTATTGAATCTGTTTTATTCCTTGATGGTGTCCAGATTCTTCTGTTCTTCAACTGCAGTTGGTCCTTTACTTACAACAGTTCATTTAGTGACCATTCAAAGTTACAACAGCACTGAAAAAAGTGATGGTTGTAATGTCCAGGATCATGTGGTCACCTTCTGACAGGCAAGGTCAATGGGGAAGCCAGACTCACTTAACAACCCTGTGTTTAGTAACACGGTTACTGCACTTGACAGCTGTGGAAAGAAAGGTTATAAAATGGAGCAAAACTCACTTAACAACTGTCTCGCTTAGCAACATAAATTTTGGGCTCAATTGTGGTTGTAAGTCAAAAGACTATCTGAATTAACTTATCCCCACATAGATTTGGTTGAACAAAAATAAGAAGTCGTATCTTTGGGATATACTTCTCTCCCTCCCCCTCCCTCTCCCTTCCCCCCTTCTGTCTTTTGTCACGCCCGGGTTAGCTAGTGAGAACTAATATAGTGGAATATTCCCTTTCAGGTGTGGATGATCACTCCTTTGACACTCCCGCAGGACCAGATGGTAGACCGGCACTTTACTCTGGAATTCACAAGAAACAATTCGTTTTGGATAATTCCTCTGAAAAACAGCCAGATAATGAAAGTGATTCACTGATCTTATCTCCTTCATCCAGCAGCCTGGACACTTGGGGTACAAACAGGAAATTGCTTAAGACCTTCAGTAAATCTGATAGTCGTGGCCTTATAAAACCCCCCAAAAAATTTGGGACATTCTTTTCTTATCCAGAAGAGGATAAAATACCCAAAGTTTGCCGTTCTTTAACGGATGGAGAAATGAAGAATCTTGGCTCTCTCAGTCATGGGGTAAGTAAAGAAAGCATTTGCTTTTATGACAGCAAGTGCAAGCATCATGTCCTGGTATCTTTGGAGGAAATCCAGAGTGTCAGGAAGCAGATCCGGTTAAAAAAGGCAGATCCTAATTATTCATGTTCTAGAGCTTTTCTCTGTCAGCGTCCTGCTAGGAAAGGTGTATCGCCTTCCATCTGCGATCTGCAGCTGCTTCATCACAAACCCAAGAGGCTAGGAAGAGGTGGAAGCTGTGGCTTCTCAAACAGAAGGCTTCGAGGGTGCAATTCAGTCAGCGAGTTCAATATCACATATGTGGTGGAAAGAAGCCTGTACAGTCACCTCAACCTATCGCATCTGGTGCGGCCCGTGACTGACAGAACCTTGAGCAAAAGTGAAGAACAGGAGTTGAGGCGGTGCCTACTGGAGGAAGAGGCGGCGGCAAAGAGGAAGTGGGCTTCCACAGTCGATCGCTGTACAAAAAGGGTTCTTTTGAGAATCCACCAAAAGTCTGTGAGTTTTACACCAAAGGTGTCCACAAGCTCCCATGAGGTTGCAGTCAGCATTGCTTGGGGTTCCCCATCCCCCCAATCATGGTATTTGAAAGGCTTACCATTTCATTGCCTTTCTCTTGTCTTCTCTCCCCTCAACCTTCTCTTAATTATTGGCCAGTGAGATAGTCTAATAAATATCGAGGCACGCTATTCTTGTACCTTGTTCCTAAACTGACAACATTTTAAGGGAAAATCCTTGCCTTTTAGAATCAACTAAATACAAGAAGTACATTTTCAGATAGAAAATGGCTTTTGTTCCATATTTGCTTGAATCAACAACACTAAGAAGAAATAAATAAACTTATAACTAAGTACACAGAGAGAATCAGTTTGCCTAGTGGTTAAGGCACCAGGCTAGAAAGTGGAAGACTGTGAGTTCAAGTCCCATGAAAATCAGCTGGGTGACCTTGGGCCAATCACTTTCTTTCAACCCAACTCACCACACAGGATTGTTGTTCTGGGGAAAATAAGAGGAGGAAATGGAAACTCAGGTTTACCACCTTGAGTTATTTATAAAAATAATAATGGCAGGACAAATCAAAAATAAAATAAATATAATTTAATTAGTGACAGTTGTACAGTGCATTTAGATCATAGATTCTGAACTGAGAAACTGTGGGATGGTTCAAATGATGTTTTCTGGCCCATCATATGGAGAAAGTTATGCTTCAGTTTTAGAGATACAGAATTTTAGGTAGGTATGTCATCATTCACCTTTCTACCTTACTAGGTTGACAAAAAAGCCCACCTGTTGCCTCTAAGTTACAGTTTGGAACCAGTGGTGAAATGTAAAATTTGTTGCTACTGGTTCTGTGGGCATGGCTTGGTGGTGGTGGGTCATGTGACTGAGTGGGCGTGGCCAACTTTTTTTTACTTTTTTTTTTTTTAATTTGATTTATATGCCGCCCTTCTCCGGAGACTCGGGGCGGCTTACAATGCGTTAAGCAATAGCCTTCATACTTTTGTATAGTTATACAAAGTCAGCTTATTGCCCCCACAAACTGGGTCCTCAATTTACCTACCTTAGAAAGGATGGAAGGCTGAGTCAACCTTGAGCCTTTTTTAAAAGCATTTTTTACTACCTATTCGCCCAAACTGGTAGTAAAAAAATGCTTTAAAAAAGTAAAAAAAAAAAAAAAAAGGTTCCGACGATCACACAGCACAGCTGTGATTGTTGGAACCTTTCTTTTACTTTTTAAAGCATTTTTTACTACTGGTTCACCCGAACCGGTAGTTTTTATCACTACCGGTTCACCCAATCTGGGGCGAACTGGTAGCATTTCACCCCTGTTTGGAACACCCTCTCAAATTGGCTCAGTGACTGATGAAAAAGTGTTGTGAATCCTTCCTAAAAAGTAGTAGAAATACTATATAGATCAGTTTTGGGGGGTTTTTTGGCACTTTTTATATCTTTCCAAATATTCCATATGTAACTGGTATGTTTGTTTTTTTCTGTGCTTACTCCCATATTTCTCCAGAGCAGCCTCTGATCAGAGCAGCCCACCTTAAGTCTCTGCCAGTGTCTTTACTCCTTAACAAATTCTGATTTCCTCAAGCCCTTTAGAAAGATTTGCAGCAAGACAATTCCACCAGAGAAGAAGAGGTGGGCGGGATCATTTCCATTGCTTTTCTTGGCACAGTTGCAAGGCTGCAAGCCCACCAACCAGCTCATTATGCTGCAGATGACAATATCCAGGGAAAGCAATTCCCGTGCATTGCAACGTCGGCATAACTGTGGCTTTGCCAGTAGCCAAGCTAGTAGTGGTGATGAGTGGGTGATGTGGAGAAATCATATTTCTGTGTACTCTGCATCATTAACTCCTTTAAATGTTGTGATTCATGCAGGAGTGAAAGAAGTAGAGGGACTCGGATTGGAATCTCAGCTCATTCTTTATCTCTGTATGCTGACTAGGTGTGGTGAAGGAGAAGTAAGGTGTATGTGTGTAAAAGAGAGAAAGGAAAGCAATGAACTGAGGAGAAAATTGATATATAAATGAAAAAGTTACACACAAAAAGAGATGGGGGGAAGGGGATCCTACCTATTTTTTTGACTGAGGATCCAACCATCATCCCATTGTGTAGCTATTGATAACTTCCTTCTAAGAAAATACGGTTCTCAAAAAATACGGTTTAAAAAAAAAAATTGCAACCCTTAATTTTCATCAGGCAAAGATCTGTACAGTGCTTAGGATTGCAGTCCATAATTGCTCAGTAAAGTGAAATATTTAATTCCCAGCTCAGATATAGGAAAATAAGGATGAGAGCCAGGGATCTAAAGCCATCTGGGAAGTTCATAGCTGGATTGTATTTCTAAACTAAGATCTCGGGTTGAGGCAATCATGACTAGTGTTCCAAGAAACTTAAGGGAAAAAAAATGATTCTGACAGACAAAATCTCACTTTTGCTAACTTGTAAACTATGGCTGCAGTTGGCTAGTAGCCACTGTAAAGCTGTTAATTTTTTTTTCTAGGATAATTTATCCTTTTTCTCCAGTGCTTTGTATGTTAGTGGATTCTGCCCTACTTTGTAACGTATTTTATTAAAATAATTTTTTTGGCGAAGATGGTATGTAGAGAATATTTCAGATGGTGAAATAGACTTTTCACTTGACTGCACATGATGTGCTTATATAAGAGGCATACTCTTATAAAATACATTATACATACTCTTTAAAAATATATTTTGTCCTGCAAATTATTTGATTGTAAGCCTGTTACTGTAATTTACTGTGTATTGCCAATATTGGTAACAGGAATTGAACATCCTTATATGATATGACGTAGGCTAGGAAGTCTAAATACCTATGGCCTATAGCTTAGGTGTGTTCAACCATGGCTGGTTAGGGAATTCTGGGAATTGAAGTCCACAGGTCTTAAAGTTGCCACAGTTGAACACCCCTGCTATAGCTTGTGTCTGTCAGCTAGGAAGATACTAGATAAGCTGTAGGTGCAAGGTCTTTTCTGTTGTGGCACCCAGATTGATGAATTTCTCCCCCACTACCAGCTACCCTTGTCACTGTTAAGTTTCCGGAGGTCCCTCAAGATCTGGTTATGCCAGCAGGGCTGGGATCCCCAGGAATGGGTGGCCTAGTGAGGTGCTCCGTTATGTCTATTATTTTTTGTTTTAATTTGGTTTTTCATACTTTTTAATATATTTATTAACTCCTTTTAGCTCTGTTGAACAATGCCCAGAATTGTTTGCTTGTGAGAGGGGTAACCAAAAAAATTGGACTAATAAATAAATAATAAATAAAATAATAACTAGGATGTGTTGGATTGCATCCTTGGAGAAAAAGCTATATCTCTTCCTTTTTTATATATATGAGATCTTGGATTAAGGCCTCTTTTACAAAGAGCAGATGCTTTATACCCTGCTTGTGAATTTTAGGCACTATTCTATACTGTCTTCCTCTGAGATCATAATTCATGTTTACTGCAACCTCAGGAGCTATGGCATTCCTTGTCAATAGGACTGATTACATGTGTTGCTTTTACATATGTTTTGGGCATTTAAATTTATTTTAGTGGCCAAGGCATGCCTAGAACTTTTAAAGTATGTGCATGATCATTTCATTTAAGAATCTACAGTCTCTTCATCTACAGTTTTTATTTAGCATGTTTTTGTGAAGTAATTGGAAGTAATGAACTATATGTCCAATAGCAAGCATAACAATACAGCTGTTTGAAATATAGCATATTGCCAAAAAGCAACTTTTAACTGTGAGGGTTTTTTTTGTGTGTTTGTATGATTCCATACACCATCCATGCCAACTCTGAATTCTGTTGTCATACATACTCACTGCCTGCATACATGTTCATACACAAATACATGAAGACCTCCAAATGTAATCCTTGTTTGATATTAAAAGATAATATAAACTTTCTGAGATAACTTTTTAAAATTGTTACAGCATTCCTTTGCTGTTGACTTTCTTGTTAAATGGATGTTTTCAGGGAAGAAATACAATTACATGTTCACCAGCAAAGGTTTGTTTGATGAGGATAAAAAACATGCTTCATATAGGTTGTCTAGTAGAGCTTATAATTGGCTTTTAGTAATGTATTAATTAGTAGCAGACTTAATAATGAGATATTACATATACAGCATTTATTATTTACAAAGTATATGATGAAGGATAATGATCATGTCCCAATTTGCTGCTGCTGTTGTTTTTCTATAAGATGAAGAAAAACAGAGGGAATAAGGTTGAAGGACAAGATGTAAATGCATAGATCAAAACATAGAAATAGACAGCCAATTTATTTCTGGAAAAGGCAAACTTCTGAATTGTAGAACTGAAAGGGAACCAGGCAGTTCTATTGAGCTCCAAAGGCTACCATCTTTTCAATAATGAGCACTTTACATATGAGGATCATTATTAAGCACCAAGTAAATATGCTTTCACTTGGCTGTGTTTTTCCGCTTTGAAAAGAAAATTAGTGTCATTACGCTGACCTGTTTAGGCAAGCAGAACTATTGTATTCAATGTCAGTGTTTCTTGCTTGAGATGTTTCTCTGAGAAGAACTCACTTCTCTAATTACTTCCGCAAGATTATGCCACTGCACATATCACCTACTGTATTCTCTCTTGTAGTAGTACGAAAACTGCTTTGTTCCATACAGGTCTTGGTTACAGATATGGAGTCTCTGAAAATTGAAATTGTCATTTGTTCAGAGATGTCCTTATTGACTGAATCAACCAATTGAGCAGATGCTTAAAATTTCAAAACTTTTGTCTATTTCAAATACGATAAAGTGGAACATTTTGCTGTTGTTAATATTCTGTACCCAAATGACTCCCAAAACATGGGTTATGTAAAGCTATTCCTCACCTAGGAAATAGTTTTAAAACTCCTTTATTGAAAATCCCAATCTCAATATGAAGCAATAAAATAATTAGTAAAAGTCCAGGAAGGGAACATGATGCATGAACATAATCCAGAACATTTTTTCATGCTTGCTGCTGTTATTTGTACAATTGAGACGTTTCTCTACTGTCTTCTCTACTCAAGAAGACAGTAGATTTTGTGGTAAAATGTTATAAATTTGCCTTATTTCACAGAGAACCTGCAGCTTTGGTGGTTTTGATTTGGCAAATCGCTCACTGCACATTGGAAACAGTTCAGATCAAATTGTGAGTATGACATATTCGGTCATAAGATACATTCATACATACAGCCCAATGATGGTGTTTGTAATGTGTTTCAAAATTAAATTGCAGTGGGATTTGCTATAAAAGTAGCTATGAGGATAACATCAGTTTTCAATTACAATAGATTTTTTAGGATCTTTTAAATTGCATTTCAAAAAACATCTTTTTCCAACAATGACAAGTACTTTCATGATTGATTGCCATCAAGTTGGTATTGACTCATAGTGACTCATAGATTTTCTCCATGAAAATCTGTCCCTAACCTGGTTCATTCAGGTCTTCCAATGATACACCCATCACCATTGTAAATGAATTCATCTATCTTGCTGCTGGTCATCTATTTTACCTTCCACCTTTTTCCCAGCATTAGAGTTTTTTCCAGAAGGATAGTCTTTCCTTAATATGCCTGAAGTAGGATGATTTGAACCTGGTCATTTGTGTCTTGAGTGAGTTGATTTATTTTGATGATCTCTTTGTTTGTTTTATTGGTTGTCGTTGGTGGGGTCTCCTCCAACTTCAAAGTTCAAAAGTGAAAATACTCTTTCTATTCTGTTTCTTGAAGTTTTGCTTCCATAGGGTGTCACAGGAAATACCACGGTTTGTAGTGCACTAGTTTGATCTTTGTAGCCATATCATGGCATAATAATCGTGTTGTTATGATGCTTTCTGACTACATCAATAATTTGTTGATACTAGAGAAAATTATTAGCACTATAAGGAATGTCCAAAAATATCTCTCCAAATATGACATGCTTATTATTCTGCAAACACTAATGCCAGACAGTGCTCTGTGTAATTCTGAACAACATTCTGTACTTTGAAGTCTTAAATCGGGTGTGTCCAGCCTGTGGGCTGCATGCAGTTCTGTACAACTAGTAATGAAACCCCACAAGATCATAAACTTTTAACATTATTATGTGCATTTATATGGATTATTTATATGGATTATATATGGCCCAAAACAATTCATCTTCATTCGGTGCGGCCCAGGCAAACCCAAAAGTTGGATATGGATGTTTTAAATTATGATTTTTAATTTTTTTATATTCAAAAGGAGGATGTGTAATGTCATAAAATTTTGAGAGTGATAAGGACTGCTAGAAAGCAGTAGAAGATTACTCAATGTTTGAAATTCCAAAAGAATAAAAAATTAGTTCAGAGGAAGCTTGTCAGTCTGTAGGTCAAACAAGATTTTTTTTTAATTCAACCTTGTGGTCACTCAAAAAATCTTATTTTTCTGAAGGTTCTCATTTGTTAGATATTATTTTTTACATGTGATAATTGTAACACGAGGACAGGTTAAATGGGGTGTTTCCTAGGCAATTAGAAAGCAGTAGTATTTATTCCACAAGAAAAATTAGATAGCTAGTAAAAGCCAACTGGTCCAACCATATTTGCCATGGTTTTATTGGCCAGTCAGAATATTTAGTTAAACTAAGAGTATCAGATGAGTAAAAATCATCCTCCCCATCAAGTTATTCTATCTATTGAATAAAGTATATCAAAATAAGCTGATTAAAACTAAACTGGAGCCAGTTTAGGAAAGGTGTAGTGACTAATGCATAATAGTCCATTTTTCACATTCTATTTATTCTACCCTTGCTTTCTCACTAATCACTCTGAAGAGGCCTGAAGGGGATCTATGACCACTTGGACAGCTCTCAGCATAATCCTGGATTTAGTGAACATAGTAGGCTGTTGCTCAGATGTAAGGGAAGGTCCCCTTCTGATATTTCAGCAAATATATAATACTTCCCATATTCCAGCTTCAAACAAAGCTGGGAAAGGCTTTGTTTGCATGCCTTGAATGAAAGATAAATAAAATGTGAGGATGTAAAGAGCATAGCTCCATCCTGTATACATTTTTGCCCTGCTTATGTTCACTTAACATATCCTTGGGAAGAATATCACATTGAGAAAATGTTCAGTAGTGAATAGAGTTGTTTATAAGTTGTTTGATGCTAATAGATAAGACTGAGCCAAGAATTCTCTTTGAGAACTTCCAATTTAAAATGTAAGCTTCTATTTTATTGCACTGAATCATTTTATAGATTGCCCTTTTCCATAGGGTTGCCAATCTGACTATAGGGATAGTAATGGCAGTGGGACTAAGCAGCTAAGATTATCGTGTTTAGTCTTTGAAGGACTATGCATATCACTGGTCCTGTCTGATGAACAGGAATGGAGAAATTAAATTATTCCTGGTTGTTGCCAGTTTTATGTTATTGAGTGTATATCTATTTCAACCCAAAAACAATTGCAGTTAACACCTAAAATTCAAAACAGCTTTTTAAAATTCATAGCCATTAATTTGTTGCAGAAATTAGAAATGCTCAACCAACAAATAATATGAGAAACTTGCATTTCAAGAGCATTATTTGCATTTCTTGTAGACTGCCATAATCGAGTTATGTCTAAAAACCTTTCTTTTTGATTTTCTGCCAATGAATTGCTTATTCAAATGAACTGTGGATTGGAGAAGAGACAGGATTTAGACAGATGGGAAGAGCAGGAAAGAACAAAGGAAGGAATGTTATTTATATAATGTATAGATATGTTCTCTCTGCCATGCGACAAACAAATTCACCTGGAAAGAGTGCAAGGGAGAATGTAGATCAAGAAAAGAAAATTGTGGGAAGCAATGATTTTCTGATCTAATTTGGGGATTCTCTGGGTGCCTTGAATTAAAAAAGAGGGATGGGGAGTTGATCTCATCCTTTCGTCTCTAAATATTGCTGCCTTTTGTGCTGAATGGCAACTCATCCATGTGACTTTGTGGTGTTCACAGAATCATATTTTGAGAAATGGTTACTGATGTATAATTTCACTCTGAAACGGTAATACAGTATTCCTTTAACATTAGGCAAGTCTTTCTCATGAATGACCGTGATCTTCTTTTGCTTGTTTTTCTGGGACTACATTTTTCCCCCCTTTCATTTTTTTCCCTGCCTTTGTGTATCTATATTGGTTTTTCCTGCTCCAGGAGCCAATATTGTGGTTTTGTTGAGCATTTGGGGATTTAGTAGGGCAGGCAAGGGAGGATTGAAATTAATTGTAATTCCGTTACTAAAACACATCCTTCTCCTGTCCAACTGAATCCAAACCATCGAGTTCCTGAATTGCCACAAAGTGATCTCTGTATAGATGGGAAAAGGAATTGTCTCTGAAAACATCTGGGCTGAATCCCTGGCCAGATGGAAAGTCTCTGGAGGTTGGGGGTGAAACACAGCTGCTGCAGGAGGATGGATCTCTAGAACACAAGCATAGGAAAGAAGCAAGTTCTAGCGAGTTTGGAGCTTCCCTGTCCACTACTTAAACAAAACGAAAGCCTTCTATCGATCTTTGTTTTTACTTTCATTTCTCTAGTTAGGAATCTTTCTCTCTCCATCCATCCTGGAACATAAAGCCATTTTATGAAACCGTTCTGCAACAGGTTCCAGCAATGCAAAGTGAAGCAATTCTTCAGACAGCTCATTCATTTTTTTGGGAAATCCCTATCAATAGGGCTGGTGATATGAATGGAAAATTCACCAAAATATATATTTCAGGGTGATAGGCCTTTCCATTTTCATGCCATGTGAACTTCCAAAGGCATCTGAATTTTGTCAATGTGGGACTGGGTCTGGTCCAGTTTGAATTGCTTTAATCATTAATCTAATTAATCTACAACAGTTCTGGTTGCCTTTCATCCTAATTTTTCCCAGCTTTCTTGACCATTCTCCTTTTCACTTACTGCTTTTGAAGGTCATGTAATCATAACTACAGTAGATGTTCTTTTTTTCCTATTCAGTACCCATAACTTTACTTGGTGGGGATGTTCTCACACAGTAAGAGAGAGATTTTCTTATCCCAAGACCAATATTAGGCTTCCCTTGGCAGTCTTTGACGTTGCACTTGAGCATCATGTGACTAGATTAACTCGGCCGTCAGATGACTATGTGTGAGGTCAGTTAGCCACGGTCAGTTAAATCTATATAGAATTTAGGCAGGCAGAACACAATCAACCTTATAAACAAGCGTTCATCTCAGCCAAAAACTAAAAATATTCCAAAAATTGATCTTAATGTGAAAGTAACAGATACAGGATGTGAGCTGCACTTCAAATAGCTTTTCATAACTTCCAAAATGTTTAAAAAGAAAGGACAAGAAAAAAGGAAAGTTAGCTGAAGAACAATATATATTGAGCAATACTGATGTAAATGACTTTCATACAAGGATCTTATGAGGGGGGTACAACTGTAATGTTCTCTCTCCAGAAGTTGGCAGAGACATACCTAATGGAAAACGATTGGATTATGCCACTTGTGTTATTAAATAAAAATGCATGCATGCAGGAATTATGTTATTTAGCATTCTGCCAATGAGTATAACATTAAAATCAATGTAGGTGGCTAAATTGAAGATATTGACTGGGTGGTGATATTTGTCCCATTTTGTATGTAATGGGTTATTCTGGCTCAATGCCCATCAGGATTGTTATACTACACGGTGATGAACTCACAATGACATTTTAAGTGATGGCTTAAGAATTGGAAGACAAGCATCATAGGGTAGTCAACATGTAATAACTAATTCCCCTTTCTTCCATTATTTATCCCACTGAGAAGAATTTCAAGGAAAACATTGCAAATATTGTCCAAGGGAAAACTCAGATTCCTGGGAAAAAGTGGTCTTGTCAGAAGAACAATGTATATTTCTCCCCTATTGCATCCACCCAACCCACCAGGATGGGAAGGCAGAGCATGTTATGAGTCCCATCAATTAGAAGTGTACATCTGAAGGGACCATGAAAGAGGGCCTAGGGATTGGTGGTAAACCCTTCTTTATGGAACATCATTCCTCCTCAGCTCCAATTGGCCCCCACCCTGTTCTGAAAGGCCCTAAAAATGTGATTTTGCCAGCAGGCCTAGGGACTACGAATGGAAATGGAGCTGCTTCAAGTGGCTGATTTGATTGTATTGTTGCTGCCATGGAGGATGGGTGTATGTGTGTATGTTTCTGTGGGTGGTATTTTTATGGGTTTTTATTATATGATGGATTTTTTAAAAAAATATTGTAAGCTGCCTGGAGTGACCTATCTGTGAGTTGGGCAGCTATATAAATATTGTTTAATACAGGGTTCTCCAACCTTGGCACCTTTATGACTTGTGAATTTCAACTCCCAGAATTCCTCAGACAGCACATGCTGGCTGAGGAATTCTGGGAGTTGAAGTCCACATGTCATAAAGGTGCCAAGGTTGGAGAACCCTGATTTAATAAATAAATAAATAACATGTTTTGGGAATCTGCAATTTGAACAATCTTTGTAAAGTACACTGAGTCTGAGAATGGCCACAGAAGGATAAAGATGGGAAGCTGCTCTTTGTTTCAACTTCCCTTTCTTTTGACAGGGAAAGGATGGTGATTTTGTCTATAAAGAAGTGATCAAATCCCCTTCGACTTCCCGCATCTCCCTTGGCAAGAAGGTGAAATCTGTAAAAGAAACCATGAAGAAAAGAATGTCTAAAAAATACAGCAGCAGCAACTTGTCAGAGCAGGTATGCCAGTTTGTTTGTTCCTGTTGGTTTGAAAATGAAATCACTTCTCCAGCCTCTTTTGAGGCCTCATGAAAAGGTACAACAGCATTTACTTGAAAACCTCCCCAGGGGTATCATGTACTAAACCAATTCCGAGGCCTTTCAAAACTAGTTACTGTGAAAAGAGCCTCAATAAAATCATAAAAGGAAGGTAAGATTGAGTTAAGCCAGTAAAATTTACGATTTCATTTGATATGCGGTGGTAGTTCCCATGTTATAAAGAACGACTGAGTTGATATATATCCTGAGCAAGTCTCTAACATTGTCAAAATGCAAGCAACATCCAAATCAAGGGTCTCTAACCTTTTTGAGCTAGTGGGAACACTTCAAAGAAGGAGCAGGAGGGGCATTTTCTCCAAATGGTCCCCAAAAGGACTCTGGTCAATCTCAAAACACCTATTTATCAAAAGCCAACCCCATCACTGGACTGCACTTTATTTTATAAATCCCTTGGGCCTGCTGGACATCTAACTTCAGTTTGTGCTTTCCTCTATAGCATGTTAGTTCCCATTGATTTTTTTTTCTAATAAAAGATATAAACATGGATTACAAAGAATTTACCAATGCCAAGAAATATGGCTGAGGAACATAAGAGGGGTGGGGGAGCTCCAGGATCCAAAACATAGCACCATGCCCTTTACATTCCAAGTGAAAAGCTTGAAAATCCTTAGAAATGTAACATTTCACTTACTTGATTAAATGTATTTTGTCCCTGTGTCCAGAAAAAAAGTTACACTCATTTTAATGAAAGTAGCAGAAACATCAATCAGTAACATACTTTCTCATTATTTAAATGTAGAATACAATAGCAGTTTAAAACAAACGATCTACAGTAACTAATAAATATATTAACATATAAAAGTCTAAGAAATACTGGATATTTTTTTTACTAATGAATAATACAAGAAACATTAGGCTGAATATCTTGTCCATACAGAAAAATCTTGTATTGTATGTGTTATAGGATTTCATCATCTTTTAATTGATTTAAGGAAAATTCCACTCTAGTGTAAAATCTCTGTAATTGCATCATGCTTATTAGTCCTTATTACAAATACTCATTCCATTAATTTTAGTTCATTGAAAATGAATAGTACTTTTTTTATAGTTCCCTAACGTTTTAGGATAGAAAGGCAGCTTATATGAAAAATACATAGTTGTATGTATGAATAAAAATAAAAAACAGATAGCCATGAACTACGTAAATATTCTGCCCTGTTAGGAATGAAATGTTAGCATCTGAATAGAGAGATCATTAAATTTGATCATGGAAACTAACATGTAGCTTTGACATCTGTGCAATCTGAAGGCTTTACCATGAGATTATCTGAGTAGCCCATAGCGGGTCAAAAAGGAAATCAGCAACTTTTTAAATAAACAGAGTATGCTGAATGAAAAAACCCACATTTTTCCTTTGCAATACGCTTAATTCTGTATTACCGAGATCTATGATGATCGTTGATTCCTTTAAAACTCCTTTTTTCAATTTTCCCTGGCTAAAATCAATTCGTTTTTCCAAGCTTGTTGCTTTTGGCAAATTTCACTCAATTTAGTTTGGGAGGCTGTCAAAACAGCCAACACTTTTTATTGTTATTTTTTCATCAGTCTTTCCACTTCAACTACAGTAAAAACATAACAAGTCATCGGCATCAGCTGGGAAAACAGTTAATATTGATGAAATATCGCCCTCTAGAGGCTTATCAAATAATCCAGTTGCTATAGTAGGCCATTATATTTTGCATTCAGTAGAAGAATGCTGATCTTTGATACCCAAAGCAATCTGAACGTGTTCGTGATCTCTGAGATACCTTTATATTTGCCAAGCTAAATTCAGTCCCTCACTCTTATCTGTAATGATATGGGACAGATACAGATTTCAGGGCAGAAAGGCTCCGTGGAGGTACAATAGACTTTCACTGGGAATTTGGATCTGCAAGTTGCTGCAAACAAACAAAAAAATATAAATAGTTTGTGGCTCTATACAGGAACAAGGCAGTCCTCATATCCATCCTGAAGTCCTTTGTTGTATAGCAGACCATCACAGTAATACCAGACTTCCAGCAGAAAACAAAGCCATTTGTTGTCATGTTGGCTGAGGCGGTGCAAATGACAAATGGCCTAGCTGGATTCTGACATTGACTACTATCCCAATATAGTGTTTGCAAAGATATATTTCTTCTGTAATAGAAATCCCGATTCCTGCCCATGTTGTTAATTTTAGTCAAAGAAAAGCAAATGTGACAATCCCAAGTATTATACAGGACAGTTGTTAAATGAGTTTTGCCTCATTTTATGATCTTTGCCACAGTTGTTAAGTGAATCACTGCAGTTGTTAAGTAAGTAACACAGTTGTTAAATGAATCTGGCTTCCCCATTGACTTTCCTTGTCAGAAAATCACACAAGTTGATCACATTGACCCTGAGACACTCTAACCATCATAAATACGAGTCAGTTGCTAAGCGTCTGGATTTTGATCTCATGATTATGGGAATGCTGCAACGGTCATAAGTTTGAAAGACAGTCATAAGTCACATTTTCAGTGATGTTGTAAATTCAAAGAGTTGCTAAATGAACTGTTATAAGTTGAGGACTACCTGTATATCAGAAGGAACAGCGTATTTATGTTATCCATTTTTGAAATTTCTGAATCTCGGCCTTTCAGAGAAAGTTAAACAATTCTGCACATCTTTTTAAAAAGCAGAACTTATTATAAAAATGCATTTAGCTATGTGCGCATAGTAAAATAGAATATCTTGTTCTATATCAAAAGCCAGTCTGAAAAATGGAATGCTTGAAAATGTTAAGTTGATTTTATTTTTAAGCATAAGAACACAACCCAAAGTACTGTTATCAGGAAGGATGATCTGCTCTGAGACTATCATACCAGCTGCTCATAATAGTAAATTCTCAGATAGATACAGTAGTTTGAGATGAGGATGTTTGTTACGTTTAAAAACTCCCCTCAAGACTATGCAGGACAATATTTCTAGAGTGTTATTTGGCTGGCAAAATGGATTTTTAATCCCCTCCTTTCCAAGCCTCCCAAATCTGCAGAAAGGTGACCTCCTGAAGCAACTTTCACAAGTTCGTGCAGAGATCCATAGGAAGGAGAAATTCTATCAAAAGAGAAATCCATACATATATTGGATATAGCCTATAATATAGATAGAAAACAACGAATTCCATGTTCCTCCCCAGAGCTTTGGCTTTGTAAATGATCTTACAATTTCAGAATTGGGAAAGAAGCAATACTAGACAACACTGGATTTATGGCTCAGTCCAATGATTTGACTTCTGCAGGGTTCCAATGACCAATACTTCTCTAGTAAGAATGTACAAATAGGTCTTCCAAATTAATGGAGCAAAATTATTTAAAATATAAGAAAGATAGATCTTCGGAAAAACAGAAGTCACTTTCTAACTAAAGGTTTGTGGCTTTGGTTTTCTCTGGAGAGTTGCTTGATTTGTGGGAAGATATTTCCTGATGACATTGCACTACACAAATAATAGGCTTCATCAGATGGTTTGTGATTGCATGTCAGTGGAATAGCCAGCAATTCTTGATATCAGCAGGTTTCTTTAATTCTTTGCTGCGGGTATTCTAGAGTAGTCTACAACATTATTTTTAACACCTTCTATCAATACCTTCTGCTTTTTAAAATGTACACGCACCCCCATATCCACACACTAAGTACTCTTCTAAATGCAGATTGGTTCAAAAATTACTGTTCACATCCTTTTGGATCTATTTTGGTATCTAACTGAATAAATGAAGATGAAAAATGCACATTATTTTTCATGTAAAGAATTTTTGGTTGGTTTACCATTTTCAAAACCAAATTGCGGTACTAGACTAACATTCATTCATTCCACCACAATAACGCTTTTGATTATTTACTCCAAATAATAATACTTTTGTTACTTCATCAACCATTTAGTTAATATTGAACATGTATAAAGTACGTTAAATGAAATATTTTCCAAAGGAAACTGAAAATAGTCTTGGACTAGGAAACCCTTCAAATTTGAAAGAAAAATCTAGATTAAATCCTATATCTCTCTCTATCTTAAAACAATAGATTAGACAACACACATTAGAAATGTGGGAATCTCAAGTGTAAAATAGAACACAATTCTGAATTGTTCAAATGTGCTGAACACATTGACCTGTTAGGTTCACTTATCACAAGGTAACTTTTTGTAGAGATGAAAAACCTGTGTGCAAATTAGGAAGAGGTTTCCTTCAGCTATAGGAAAATAGCTGGGTTTAGGTTCTCTTCAGATATCGTTTTCTGTGTGACCCTTATCCTGATCGTCTCATGATTCAGGAACACTGCTTTCTTGTCATTTACTGTTTCTTTTTAGCTTACAAGAGGTAAAAAAGGAAATGATAGATAATTGCTGCTTTTTGCATCATAGTTGACGCCAGATCCATAGCAATGAATTCTAGGGTACAGCAGAATTTTAAAACCACACAAACCAATAGTTTGAGTACATGGGAAATTTAATATTAATGGTGAGGTTTTTGTCTTTCAGGAACCCAATTTGGATGTAAGGCCAGAGTCTCTTCAGGCACCACAGCCAGATACCGATACTTTGGATAAACCAAAGTTGAAAGCTGGTGGTTCAGTAGAAAGTTTGCGAAGTTCCCTCAGCGGTCAAAGCTCCATGAGTAAGTAATGTATATAAAGTCAGCTATGCTCAATTTAGATGTAAAAATCTCAACCTAAGGAAACATGGCCTAGACCAGATGCTGATACTTTGTTCATATTTACTGCCTTCATCCATTCTTCTTTGCCCCATGTTTAGCTGCATCTATTGTGGGAGTTAATTATTTCAAGGGGTTTTTTTAAGTGGTTTGCCATTGCCTCCTTCCTAGGGCTGAGGAAAAGTGATTGGCCCAAGGTTACCCAGCTGGCTTTCTATTTAAGGTGGGATTAGAACTCACTGGCTCATATTCTAGCCTGGTGCCTTTACCACTGGACCAAATTGACTGTCATAGATAGTAGGGATTATTATCGGGGGGGGTTGTGGCTCTTCATTTACGAAGTAGTAGGGGGCTCAATTGAAGACTAGGATCTGCGTTAAGGTTTGGGGAGAAGCAGAAGTTGTGCTAAAGTAAGAGCAACCACACCAAATAGATTTGTAAACCACCCAGAGTCACTTAGGTGAGATAGGGGGTGTAGAATTTTGATAAATGAATTAAAATAAACAAATAAATGAATCTCTGGTGAGCTAATCAGTTCAGCATCAGATTAGATGCTAAAATTGCCATTAAAGAAGCAAGAAGCTGTAAGATCTATTGTGTTTGCTGTTCTAATCACACCTAGAATGGTAGTGTTAGACTAGTGCCAGAGGAATGTTCTTGACATCTTACAGGATGACACATATTGAGATCTGCTTGTTATCTTTTGCAGTTCCTTTACTTTTACCTTTTTTCCTGCACAAATAGGTGGGCAGACGGTAAGCACAACTGACTCTTCAACCAGCAATAGAGAGAGCGTCAAGTCTGAGGATGGTGATGATGAGGAGCTTGCGTACCGAGGGCCTTTCTGTGGTCGTGCCAGGGTTCACACTGACTTTACCCCCAGCCCTTATGATACGGATTCTCTTAAACTCAAGGTACTTTTCATGAACTAACCAACAAATTTGAATTAAGGGATATTGCTTAAAAAGGTACTGAATGTTCTCCAAATGTTCCATAGTTGGACCTAAGATTTCGTAGAAAGGGCTACCTATCCAAAGCTCCTTGATACACTAGTTTCTCATTTTTACAAATGTTGAACAGCAGCTTTAAAATCATTATCTGACTATTTTTAAAATGGTTATAGCAATAGCACTTAGACTTATATACTGCTTCATAGTGCTTTATAGCCCTCTCTAAGCAGTTTATAGAGTCAACATATAGCCCCAACAATCTGGGTCCTCATTTTACCCACCTCAGAAGGATGGAAGGCTGAGTCAACCTTGAGCCTGGTGAGATTCGATCTGCCAAACTGCTGGCAACTGGTGATCAGCAGAAGTAGCCTGCAGTACTGCACTCTAACCACTGCACCACTGCGGCTCTTATGAAACTACTTTGTTGTAATGTAAAGTGCATTTCTTTCTTTCTTCAAGTGGTTTTATATGGCTGCCCATCTCCTTAATAAAACTCTGAGTGGGTAATGAAAATTTTAAAATACAGTATAAATACAATATAACAATGCACATCTAGACCAACTACAATACAAGGTGGCCCTAAAGCCACCATACACCAACATTGTGGGTTCTTGACCCCCCCCCTTCCCTCCCCCAATGTTCAGTAAAATAGCCAGGTCTTCAATGCTTTCTTAAAGGTAAGCAGTGTTCAGGTTTAACCAAGCTTTGGATGGTATGGTGTTCCGGAGTACAGATGCAGCCACAGAAAAGCTACACATCCAGGATCCCATTAGATGCAATCCCTGACTGATGGGTCCTTGAACATATCCTTCTCACCTGACCTAATGGGATACGTTCAAACAATGAGAGTAAGGCAGTCCCTCAAATACCTGTTCTGATTCATTCATATTCTCTCTCCTTCACTTTTTTCTGGATAATTGATTATATGACTCTTCATTCAGGCTGGAAAAGTCAACCAACCCAAGTATTTATTTTTATAGAAAAGATCCTGTAAAAGGCAGGAACACGAGTGTGGGTCAAAAATTGAGCCAATAGTGACAGGTGATTTTAGTTCCATTTATACTTTTGACAAAAAATATTTTCAGATATAAATTTCTCCCGTGTAAATACTTAGTCATGAAGACGCATGCCGAAGATAATTTTTAAAAAATCTATACAGATGGTTTTTTTTAAAAAAAAAATACAGAGATGTTGTTTATGTTGTTAAAATGCTACAGAATTAAGAGGTGACCTGTGAAGTCTCTTTATGTAAAGAAAAAATAATTGAGCCTTCCTTTTATTGGCGTAGTTTCATTTTTTTTCTCTATGTGTACAATAGGGGCTATCTGGATTGATTTAGTAGATCCCTTAGATGTATTCTTTATTTTCTCAACTACAGAAGGGTGATATTATTGATATAATTAGCAAGCCTCCCATGGGTACCTGGATGGGGCTTCTGAACAATAAAGTTGGTACTTTCAAATTCATCTATGTGGATGTGTTAAATGAAGAGGAAGAAAAGCCCAAAAGGCCCACAAGGAGGCGCCGAAAAGGAAGATTACAGCAACCCAAATCTGTTGAGGATCTCCTTGATCGCATCAATTTAAAGGTTAATTTCAATTTTTTTTCCCTATTTCTTGGGTCTTATAAGAAAGGCTCGTTTGCTCTCTATGTAGGCAAGGATGATTATCCTTCAGTAGTTATCAGCTTCAGGTAGCCAGGTGTGTGACAAAGGATTGTTGGAATTTTGGATCAAAATATCCAGAGGAAATTTACTCACTCCCATGTGAAGTTTTGAGCATATGTGAACATTTTAAACTTTTCTTCTATTGCTTTTGTTTTGAACAAATTGAATTGTTGTATACCTGTCATGGAAGCCAACCCACCCAGTCTACATTATACATATTAAATCAGATTTGTCTTCCTGTACTAAAGCTCATCTTCTTTATTTCCTGTAGTCTAATCATTAATTTATAGTAGTTTAATAGCCCAGGTAAAAAAAGTATTCCTCATTCTTTTCAGAGTGCAGAAAGCTTGATCTGAAGCTTTACTTAAGGGTTTTACTTGCCAACTCCCAGTGGGTTCAATTTAAAGCTCTCCCCAATAGGCTCAACGTGTTTCAGCCAAATTCCAATCCTTTTTTACCAAACCTTACGAGGTGCAACCCATTTCATGCCAGCAGTTGATTCTCTAGATAATGTAACCGTAGCTCTAGAAATTATTTGAATAGCTGATGATCCATTTCCAGTATTCTTGTTTTCCTCCTCAGTCCCCTCATTACCTAACACTGAAATTATCAATTCCAGATAATTAAGCCTCTTATGGATTTTATTTATTAAACATTTTTTAATTTGTTTTGCTTCATGCTTATTATCAGATGGAGTTGACAAACTTACTTCTTATCCTTTTCATGCTCTGCTATTAAAGTGGAGTAACTTTTTAAAAGCAAGCTGATTTTAGATTATTGGATTCTCAATTCCACAGCAGGAATAATGTACCCAATTTAGTGGATAATACTCCCTGTGGTTAAATCTCTACAGATGTTCTGTGATCACATATTGTGTTTTCTTAGTATATAGTATACTTGTTATTTTATATTGTCAATAATTCCATTTGTTTTCTCTCCTAAATTGCTTGATAAGCTATTTGTCACAGTTTTGTTTACAGAAACAGTTATTGATGCATAGTTTTTAATTTACTTTTCTAGAAAGATTTATTATACCTGCTCTGCCTTTGTTTTGTTTAAATTCTGTTTGATGTTAAGACTCTGAAAGAGCCAGGAATAAATTAAGCTATTCAATGAATAATTCCGTCTGCTCAGCAAGGATGGATAGATGGACTCGGTCTCAGACTTTTTCTGTAATCAAGTGTGGCTCCCCCAAACATCATTAAAATGTAATCACAGCTAAAATTTTGTCTGTAAAGAAAGAAAGAAAGACAAATCATTAAACAAAACAAAGGTTTACAGGAGAGTGAAAGCAAGAAGAATTCAGGAGATATTAAAACATTATAGCCATTGGGAAGGCTGCAAGGATCAAATGTCTAAGGAAAGAGATAGTAGGCCTTTTGAAAAAAGAATTCCAACATCAATGAGACAATAATCCAACTGTGGAGCAGTGAAGGAAAAGCAAACTTTTTTGAGAAGCTGTTACCTGTCTCCCCAAAGCCCTCTTACATTTTTTTTATTGCCAGTAAAGCTACTTGAATAGAAGAGAGCAATTGCTAACAGCTGGGCTTCTGGCAAGAAAGATGTTTTTTATTACAGCAGCTGTCTAAAATAAATCCATAGTCCCCATTCCGAGCTATAATATGTGCAACTATCTCACTCTAGAGGTATCTCAGCAATCTTGCCCTAACTAAAACACATTCAGGTGGAACATGCCCAGGCTACCATCATTTTTTCTTCTGCTCATTACCATCCTTGAAATGTAATTCTTCATAAAAGATGGACTACTCTTCGTGTGCAACAAATGTCTCTTCATTTCTTCTTATAGATTTTATTCAGTCAAAAGTTAAAATGAGGAGGAAATGCAAAGATATTTTTTTTTCATATTTCAAATAAATAGGAGCATATTATGCATGATGTTTAAATAAAAAAATTGATGTATTTGTTTTTGACCTCACTGGATAGGCTTTCAAACTTTCATTGGTTTTTAGAAAAGACTAGCTGAACCCTCTCTGCATACAATATTTGCATGTAACTAAAGCATGTGCTGTGATGTCTGCTTCCAATGAAGGAAGAGTTAATGTATTTGACTGTGCGGTCAAGTTGCTGTTGACTCTTAGCAATCACATACAGGTAATCCTCAGCTTATGGCCTGTCTCTTAGCAATCATTTAAAGTTATGTCAGACTCTGGAAAAGTTACTCATGACCAGATTCAAAGTTCCAATAGACACCATCCCCGAAGTCACATAAACACATTTTGAGTGCTCAGTAACTGGCCGCCATTTATGGCAACATCCTGTGGTTACATGACCATCATTTACTATGTTTTTGCCTGAAACCAGCATTTACTTCTGATTTCTAGCAGGAAAACTGAATAATAGGTTCACTTAACAATTGTGTGGCATTCGTTTTATGACTGAGGCATTCACTTAATGACCACAAAAGATAGTAAAATCAGGTGCAGTTGCATGGTAATCTGCTTTTTAACCATTGCGAATTATGAGTGTAATTACGGGCTCAGTTATAAGCTGAGAACTACCTGTACATAGACTTTTCTCCAAGAATTCATCTCCAACTTGATCCTTCAGATTTTCCAATAGTGTATACATCACCACTGTGACTGAGTTCATTTATCTTCTTCTCTTTCCTTCCATCTTTGCTAAATTTTTCAGAAAACCAGATTTTTGCATAATACATCCAAAATATGATAATCTGAATCTCAAGTAATTTATTCAATGATCCATTGGCTTGTTTTCTTAGCTATCGCTGGTTTTCTAAGGTTTCTTCTCCAATATTGAAGATGTCAATCCTGACTTCAACTTTTGTTTTTATAGAATGTCAGAGAGAAAACCATTGCTTGCACTATTCTGGTCTTTGTAGGAATAAACACCTGATTTTTTTTTTCTCAAGGCCTTCATTGTTACTCTATGAAATCTAATCTGAGATCTGTTTCTTGACTACTGCCCTTTCAACTGTTGTTAGTTGGTCTTAAAAGGGAGAAGCTATAATATTTTCATTGTCAGTTCTAAGGCTGGTTGTACCAGTTGCCATTACCTTGGTCTTTATTGTTAAACTTAGTTCCATTTTCTCACTCTTCTTCTTGATTTTCACTACTAGATTTTATTTGCATTTTCAGCTATCATAGCGTGATCAGTATAGGACATCATTGATATTTTTTTCTCCAATTTTAAAACCACATTCATTTTCTTGCTATTTTGAAACCACACTCATCTTCATTCAGTATGAATAAATAATATAGTAAGTCTATCATTAAGTACTATTTTTTTTTAAATGAAAGGGCTTATGGAATAGTAGGCATTTCCTGGAAAAAATGTATGGCAACCCACAACAGTGCTGGGTAGCCTAGTGCCAATGATAAAGAAACTTGATAATTAAGCAAATTTCATTAATTGAGTCAGAACTTCCAGATAACCCTGTGATTTTTGGGTAATACTGAGAACAACATTCTTTGGTGAGAATTACTTCTGGCTAAGCTTCAGTTCAGGAATTGAAAGTGCTGCCTCAGAGAAAGGCAAAATGCAAATAAAAGCTTTTTCTTGGTATGCAGCAAGATATATATTTTAAATATTGCAAGCCACCAGTGTATGGCACAAAATGGTTATATTTCAGATAAATTTAGAACCAAAGAGGAAGCAATGGACCAGGATAGAAGGGGGGTGCGGGATAAAGGGTGAAGAGTGCAAGAATATTCACATCAGGGATTCATGATTTGGGGAGGGCATAAATGGAAGAAATATTTGTATTCATGATACTAGCTGCCATCAGGGTTTTTTTTAACTATTACTTCAGAAAGCCAGTAAAGGCTTTATTTCAAGTTGGAATCACACAGTCTCCATTATATCTTGAATAAAGAACTCAAGGAGTTAACAGATTAACTTCTTAGTCACTTCACCCCATGCATATTCTTTCATCAGATGGACTACCTGCCAATGTGGCACATCAGTGAGGGAAAATTTCACATTGGCACTGAAGTGTGTGACAGCTGAGTTGCAGAGGAATTTTTATAGGGAATACAGAATGTAAAATCCACTGCAGTCAGAAGGAAGTGGAAATCTGTTTTGCTTCAGAGAGAAATAAAGGAAAGACTATGGATATGTTAACCTATATTACTGCATATTGTTTTTAAAGCACCTAAAATGGTATGATTCAAAATGTTCTGTGTATACTTACAAATCAGTTATAATATTGCTGAGCACATTGTAAGCCGCCCTGAGTCTTCGGAGAAGGGCGGCATATAAATCAAAAATTAAATATAGTAGTCAGCATCCACCAATTAGAAACAAAAAAAAAAAACCAACCTTGTGAAATATACAGAATTTGAAAGTAGCATCTCTCTTTGACACAGGAGCACATGCCAACCTTTCTGTTCAATGGTTATGAAGACTTAGATACCTTCAAGCTCCTGGAGGAAGAAGATTTGGATGAGCTCAACATTCGAGATCCAGAGCACCGAGCTGTTCTCTTGACGGCAGTGGAGCTCCTGCAAGAATATGACAGTGAGATAGATCTTCTCCTTTTTCAGTGCACAGCTAAGGATGTTACCTACTTGGGAGTTTGGAGAGTCTAAAATCATGGCTTGCAGGGAGCTAGAGAGAATGTAGAATAATCATAAACGGTTCATAAGTCACTGTGCATTGGGAAATTTCCATGGAGTGTAAGGTGCCTCATAACTAGAGAACCTGCCAAGGCAGGATTGTAAAGATCATCCAAGAAGAAGCCCACAGAGATGCTTCTCTGACCCAAATATATTCTAGGCTGGAAAATAATTCCCAGTTGTCCCCATTAGCACCTGCAAATACGCTGTCCCTAGTTTTTCAATTTAATTTGCATTGGTATAGTTATGTAGCAATAGCATGAGCAGAAGCACCTTGTCCATAGGAAGCACAGAGAAGGAGGATTGTTTTTCCAGTCTCCTGAATGCTTTCCTTCAGTGTGGAAAGACTGAGAAATTCTGTGAAGACTTTTTTTTTTGAAGACCTTGAATGTTATATTTCCAAACATGCCCAGCACTGACTATATTACACAAAACTGCTTAACGATGATAGCTAACATTTCTTAGTCTTCTCTCTTCTTTCTCATTGGCTTCTCGAGTATTTTTAAGCAAGTATCTCTAGCATTTATTTAAAACAGTGGTGAAATCTAAAATTTGTTACTACCGGTTCTGTGGGTGTGGCTTGGTGGTGGGGTTAATGTGACTGGGTGGGCGTGGCCAACTTTTTTTTTTTTACTTTTAAAACCATTTTTTCTACAACCTCATCGGCGAAGAGGTTGTAAAAAATGCTTTTAAAAGGCTCTTGACGATCCCAGCTGAGTTGCCTGATCGGCAGAGGGTTTTTTTCTTTAAAAGCCTCTGTCAATCTGGCAACTCAGCTGGGATCGTCAGAGGCTTTTAAAAGCATTTTATTTACAACCTCTTCGATCATCCGAGGCTTTTAGTTTTTTACTTTTAAAAGCATTTTTTCTGCTGAAGAGGTTGTAGAAAAAATGCTTTTAAATTTTTTTTAAAAGGCTCTGATGATCATGCGGCTCAGCTGGGCATGGAGGGGGGGCAGGGATTTTTGCTACCGGTTCTCCGAACCACCCGCCTACCGGATCTGGCGATCCAGTCCGAACCGGGAGCATTTTACCCCTGATTTAAAACCTAAGTTGTTTTGCATGTTGCTTGATCTAAAAGAGAAACTGAGAAGCGTTTTCAATCTATGTAAATGCCACTTTCTTAGTTTTGCCATTACTGTTCTTACTCAAGGTAATAGTGACCAGTCGGGCTCTCAGGAGAAACTCCTTGTAGATGGCCAAGACCTCAGTGGATGTTCTCCCCGGGATTCAGGCTGCTACGAAAGCAGTGAAAACCTGGAGAATGGTAATCTCAGCTGTACTCATTTGAATTGCATGCCTAATTCATTAGCTTCTAAAGGAACAGCAGATTCTGTTTCCAGGAACAGCACTTACAGAATTTCTTTTAGTGGCGACTTGGGCACTGCTTTCATTGTCTAACAAAACAATGGTTGCAGACCTGATTAGTGGAGACACACTAAATTCTGGGGCTTGCACACTTTTCCAAGGCTCTCTGAACAGACCCTTTCCCTGCAGTGTCTATAGAGCACTCATTTTTCAGCTTTGTTTTTGGTAGTTGCTTTTTTAATATTCCTGTAGTATAAAGGATTCCACCCCTTTCCTGCATGCAAGCTGTGTTGAATGAAGTTGCTCCACTAGCACAAAAGCATAATGAGGAAGTGCTTCAGATGAAGATTTAACTCATCTGCTTACAATAGATTGAGGAAATTATTCAGAGCCTTGGGGGGGGGGGGGGGAGACTGTTTTCTAGCGAATGGTTTCTTTACTTGGTATGCACGTGGCATCCTTCTTGGCTCAAAGGGTTGTGTTGCTGAGCTCCTACTGGAGCCTTTTATGTAAACTGCAGCATGTCAAGTAGGATGAAGCACTGACAGCCTGCAAAGTGAGAAGCACCTGCTGTGCACTATCCCAGTGATCACAGCTTCTTTCAGCCTTTGTAAATGGAACACGCATCTTTCTGAAGAACAGACTTCAGCACAAGAAGTGGATGGCATAATATAGCGAAGCAAATATTCTAGGTTTACCTAAAATCATGTTGGCGCATAATATTTGCCAGGGATCTGTTTGAATCAGAATATCCACAATATTACATAGAAAGTGTTAACAGGGCTTACCATTTAAGATACAAGGGGGCATTTCAGTGATGTGTTTCAAGCTATTTTTGCCATTTCTTCCTTTTCTACAGTCCAGATAAATACATTTATTGCATCCATTCATGTGGCTTTAGAATGATTGAGCAGAAGTTGTATCGAGTGCAGGACTCTTGTTTCATTTGCCTGTGTCTCCAGATCTCTTAACTCTGAGGAACTTCCAGCTGAGGAATCAAAAATTCTCTCCTGAGAAAATAATTTCTGTTGGGAAATGTCAAATGAACTGGGGGAAGAAAGGATTAAATTGCCCCTTTTCATATACTGCTGTTCCGATTGTTATTTAAAACTTAGAACCTGGACAAACTTCTTCTGTACGGGTCACATATTCCTCAGAATTTTGTTTTTCTACATATACAGCATAGATAAATAATAAAGCGTGGGTATCCCTGGAGGCAAGGAGGAAGCAGATGCCGATTTCTTTCAAAAACCTACTTCTTTTCTAAACTTTATTTCATTTTGTTTCAGCTAAAATACGGCAGCCTTGTCTCCTGCCCTCAAAATTAGCCAGTGAATATCATTTTAAGGATTTCCACAGAAACCCACTGGCGAATTTTCCAAATTTACCCTTAATGAAATCAACGGAAGCTTATCAACAAGAAAAGAAAACCCAGTTCAGCTGTGTGCATCCAATTTCCAAAAACCGTCTCAAGCTGCCAGCAGCTATGGATCTCAAGAAGAAAGGTAGAAGTTTGCCAGTTGGTGTCTGCCGAAGCTGGGAAGTTTTAGAAAGAGCCCCAAATATGCCGATGTGGCCAAGATCCCATTCTCTCGGAGACCTTCATGGAAATATTGGCACTGGTAGTATAAAATCAGTGGATACTTTACCTCTGGATTCATCAAAAAAATCAACTGAGTCTGAAGGTGGTGGGCAGATGATAAAACTGTTGTTGGCTAATCAAAGAAAAGAGGTTGTTGATGCCCTTAAGGGGAAGAGAAAGGAATTCCACTTGTCAGCAACCATGCCTTCTACAAGAATGTTCCCTCAGCGTTTGCCCGAGAACTGTGATGCTCGGGCAGCTTCCCTGTCCTATGGTATGACCTGGACTCCTTTTGAAAGTTGTAAAAAAAGCACCCATAATCTTGGAAGAGCTAATACTTCTATCTCCAAAGAAAATGTGGAAACTGATCAGAAGGATGTGAGTGAGGCAAAAATGCTACCCAAAGCGTCTTCACAGCCACCGCCAGTCCCTGCGAAAAAAAACAGAGAACGCATTTCTAATGGACACTGTCATCTCCCCTCAACTCTTTCTTGCTCAGATGTTCCGTCTTTGCCAGCAAAAAAAGTTACCCTACAGGGTTCCTCCAGTTCCCATGAACTGACTGCGTGCAGAACATTTCCTGATCAGGAACCCAAAAGTCCTTCCAGCATAAGGCCTCCTTGGTTGTCCGACCTTCCAGAAACAGCTAGTGTCCAGCAACATGTGTTAAAACTAGATCCTTCTTCAGTAAGGAAAATATCCTGTAATAGAGGACTGGATCTTGAAATGTTGATAGAAAATAAGCTGCAATCTGAAGATATTGATCTTACAGAGGAACCCTATTCTGATAAGGTGCCAGAAAAATTTAAATTTTCCTAATGTCAATTCTTTGGAATACCTTTTCAATTTTTTTCACCTTTAGAATATCTTGTATCATACCCCAAATGCATCTATGCATTTTAGTAATCATAAAGATATACTCTGTTCCAGCAGTGAGTATAGTAAGCCATTTGGCAGAGCTATATACTATACTAAACAATTTTCACTGTTCTGCTAAAAGGTTTTCATTTTGAATATTAGTAATTATCAGTGTTGTAAATACTGTATGTTAAAAATGTAACAAAAGTTGCAAATCCGAACTTTTATGTAGTTTTCATATAGTGAATATCATCTGTATGGCAGCACATAATGACCTACCAATAAAGGCCACTATTTATGTATGAATATATAAATTTAGCCTTTATCAAAGCAACAAATCGTATCTTGTATATTGCTTGGAACAGGCTAAATGAAGCAAAGTTAGGAACATTCCTTTTCTGGTATCTTCAAATCAGTTTTGATCCCTAATTACTACCAGGACACGTTCCTGCTGTTTCTTGGCAAAATTGCAGAAGTGTTTTGCCCTTGCCTGCTTCATAAGGCTGAGAGAGAATGATTGTCTCAAGGTCACCCACCTGGCTCTGGGCCTATGGTGGGACTAGAACTCTCAGTCTCTCAGTTTATAGTTTGATGCCTTAACTACTGCACCAGACTGGCTTTCCAGGGACATCTTAGATCCATCAATTTTCATGATAAAGTTGAGTGCATACTGAAGTCTGTTTTTTAAAAGTCTGCTTGCTTTGATTTTGTTTGTCGAGCCCCTTTACACCAATGTTCTCCTCAACCTCCCACAATAGTATGCCTTTCAAATGTTTTTTGAGTTTAACACTTGTAATACAAGTCTGCGTGGAAATTATGGGAAATACACTTGGAGAGCAATAGATAATGGCAGTGATCTTTAAGGCTTCTTAAGGAATACCCAAAGGTGCTTTTCAAAAAACAACTGTATTTTCTTGGTTTTTCTTTGAAAACATTTTGCTTTATATCCAAGAAGTTTCTTCAGTTCTGAAAGATCTGAAAAACCAAGAAAGTCCAACTCTCTTTTGAAAAGCATCTTTGGGACAACCATGACCTGGATGATTGAGAATCTGCACAAACATTCTTAAGAAATAGATTTACTACCCGGTAATTTACAGAAAACTCTTGTACAATTACTGGGGGTGGAAATCAAATCATAAATATAGATGTGCAAATATATGGAACAGATAGTTGCCAAGTTAAACTTCTTATAATTTCTTAAGGAACCATTACTTAATATCAGAAGGAACATTTTTGTTAAATAGAATTTTGCTTAATTCATTATAACTTGAATTTTCATCTGGACATCTGCAGCATGGCCGTTGCGGGATTCCTGAACCTTTGGTGCAAAGATATGCTGAAGACTTAGATCACCCTGAAAAGGATGTTGCTACAAACCTGGACCAAGTACGAGTGAAGCAGCTGAGAAAGCAGCACCGCATGGCGGTAAGTCAGCATTAAATCTCATTAAATCATTGTCTCTACCCCTCAGTATGACTCTGGTGCTCCTCAACAAATTATCCATCACATTGTGTCTGAATGTCCATCAAGAGCCTACACCGAACCCAATGTCTGATTTTTTCAGTATAGACCCTGTCCTTGAATGGCTGGGTGGACTGGATATTAACATTTGAACTACTATAAGTCCATGTATTTGCCATACACTAAATAAAATAAGCATTAAATCCCCATGGCAAGTTTAAGGGCCAACGATAAAAGCAAAGAAAAACTTAAGCCTTTTTGATATTTTGCCACTTTGAATTGTAGAGTGGGAAAACCTTGAACAGTTTGAATATTAAAAGATGTCGCTTATCTTTTCATTTAAAAAAAAAAAGCTGCTCATATATAAAATTAGCCTATTTTGTTTTTTTGGCAGTGGTGACAACCTTCAACCTCTGCAGTACTAGTGAAGGACTGAGAGAAAGTTGCTGACAGCTATCTCATTTTCCTTGATAGATGGTGGAATCTTTGCTTACATGCTACCTATCAGTCTGCTCTACCAGCACTGTGTAAGCAGCACAGAAATTGTTCCCAATGTATCACTGGCATCCTTGCCTTTAAAAACTTTTTGATGTTTTCTCTTATTTAACTTGCTGCTTCTGCAGGAACTGTTAGAAGCTGATAGCAAGAAGCAGATAACTATTTAGTGTGGAATTCCAGGTGACTCTTTACTAAGAGCCATGGTAGTGCAGTGGTTAGAATGCACTATTGCTGGCTAATTCTGCTGACTGCCAGCAGTTCGATTCTCACCGCCTCAAGGTGAGCCTTCCAAGATCGGTATAATGGGAGCCCAGATTGTTAGGGCAATATACTGACTCTGTAAACCGCTTAGAGAAGGCTGCAAAGCACTATGAAATGATATATAAGTCTAAGTGCTATTGTTACTATAAGTGTACAAGAATTTGGATGCATTATTTAATTTAAGGAACGCATTACTGAAGTCACCACAGAGAACTCTGAAAAAAAATTATTCAAAGAATAATTAATTTAGTGTTCTCACTATACCATTTCTCCACAGGAAAAACTGACATATGTTCTCACATTCTCTCACATGAAGATAATATGTATTCAGATTGAATTCAATAATCACAGCAGCTTCTTTCTACATGGAACAGATTGATGTTGCTTTTTCCTCAAGTTAGAGAAAAGGCCAAACAACAGCTTGAATTGTTTTTTTTTTCTTTTGCTACAGATTCCAAGTGGTGGCCTCACTGAAATTTGCCGAAAACCTGTATCACCTGGAAATATCTCTTCCATAACTGATTGGCTAGTTTCTGTTGGCCTCCCAATGTACTCAGTCTCTCTCAGAGCTGCAGGAATCAATGACTTAAGTAAAGTGCCTTCTCTGTCACAAACTTCACTTCATGAGGCTGGCATCACTGAAGAGAGGCATATAAGCAAGCTTTTAGCAGCAGCGAGACTTCTGAACCCAGAGACAATTTAACCCATTCTGGAATATAGTATTTTTTCTGTTGGAAAACTTATCATTTCTTTTAAAAGCAATTTCATCATTATTTTTCCCAGAAAAAGCTTTGTGAACAGGCAAATCTGGTCCTCGAGAAGGCTGGAGTTTCATCCCTCTTCATATAAAACTTTAGTATCAGCTGTCCACAAGGAATTGTTTTTCCTCAAAGAAAAGGCACAAGCAATAGTTTTCGTTTGCTAAAGACTCTTAGCCTTGCTTTTGGCCATTACAAAAAAGTTCTACATTCTTGAAAAGTCAACACAAACATCTTCAGTTTTTGGGGAAAGTGGGTAGCAAATTGTAGATCTCTAGATACTTTGGTTCTATTCAAAGGCTAAAGCGTAGCTAACCATTAAGGATTTTTAATTCAAATTTATATAATCTACTGAGGGAAAATGTAACCACAACAAATGTATTAAAGATTAGATCTGTTCTAATAGAGGTTCCTTTCACATCCTTTCCATTTCAGCGATTTATATAAAAATATATTAATAAAGCTCTACCTTCCCAATATAGTTTCCTAGAAGGTGGAATTGAAGGTCAGAGTTGAGGAACATATAGCTTTTGAATTTCCCCATAAAAAGAAGATGAGGCATGGATCAACAGGTGAGGGCCACAGATTTCCATCTGACAATAGCTAGGCCAGAGTTCTGAATTTTATACCTTTTAGCTGATCTTCATTGCAACTTACCAATTTTTTAAAGCTCCTTTCTTTAGAATAAAAGTAATTTTTAAAAGTTCTATTTAGCAGCCAGTTTTAATTTGCCTTAAAATGCTTTTTGAGCAGTTTACTTACCAGCCTTCAGATTTACAAGATATTTCATTGTTGCAGTTTTAATTTACCAATAGCTTATTTTAAATATTTCCTATATCTCACAACATCTCCTTGTGTAAAGTTGCTGTTTTTTAAATTGCAGACTTTAGTTCTCAGGCTAACAAGATGTTTATAGCTGTTAATGTTTGCTGGCATTACTAAAAGGCTGAAAGATATTTTGCCTTTTGTATGTACATAGATATATATAAATATGATAAAATGCTTTTCCATGTTAATTGCAGTTTTGTGTATTGTGATGCATTGTCGTTCGGTTTGCTGCAGCTTTGACTTGGTATCCTGACCATATCAATGGTACATGGGTTGTCCCGTCTGCCCCAAAGAAAACCTAACTGGCTGAATAAGCAAAATATCACTCATCATCTAGAGAATCAGAAAAAGAATTCTACATCAGTGAGATTTTGGGGGTGGAGGGAACTCTCAAGCTATAATTCCTGTAAAAATAGCTAAATCTGTCTATTATTAGATATTGAAATGATTTACTAGAATGGGTTGCTGGAGCAAACTGGTTTTGTTTTGTTTTTTCTTTGTGGTACCATGTTCTTGTTTACTAAAACTATTAAACTATACAATGTAAAATCTCTTCCTTGTTTCTGTGAATATAGATAAACTTTATTTTTGTACATGATCAGGCATATTATATACCAAATAAGTTTGACACTTCGATTGTCCAGTAGTACCTACTAACTACTAATTAGCTATAATAATGGCTTTTCAGGATAAGTAATGCCCCAATAGTTTGAAGATGTAATGGACTCAGTCTAAGCCTGGGTCCATGAAGCCTGATTTCAGATAGTTTCTCATCACCTCTTTGTGCCTCCCATTGCATTACCTCTAAAAAAGAAATTGTTTTACAAAAAAATGCAATATTCAGCTAAGAATATTTCTGCAAAGCATAATTCTGCCTTTCCAAGAACTCTTTCTCACCAGGTATCTTTTTCCTCTTACTGTCTTTAATGTATCAGGTATTTGTGGAATTTTACTAAAAAAAAAACACCTTACCATTCCAACCTTCACTATTTTATTAGTTTATTCTGACAAGCACAAAAGTGATTAAAGATTTCTACTCACAAAAGGAAAAAAAGGAGTGTGGTGAACATTTCTTCTCATGTACAAATTTATTACTTTTTAATTAAATTAATGGATGACTTTATATGCAGAGAGATGTGCTCCGCATGTAGATTGTGTGGTTATAGACTTGTAAGATTAGCTGGAATTCTCATTTATTTGTAATATACTGTAGAAGTTGATTTTTTAAAAAAATTATTACCGCAAACAGTTTAGTGGAAGCAGCCTGCAAGGCAGCCACAGTAATATGTCAGGGTATAAACAATGCCACTAAGATTTCACATTTACAGAATTACAGAAGGACAAAAAAAAAAAATCAATATTTTATACATCTCAAGAAGTATATTCATTAGGAAGGATATAAATTGTTAAACTGAGAACAGAAGTGCACAAATCCAATGCTGGTTCTGTTGATATTGCTTTATACTTTTTAAAAATAATTTTAATGTGTTGTTTATTCCTTTGTTTCACATACACACAATCCTTATGAACAGAAATTACATATTATTTATAGTATAACAACTAACGCAACTGCTGACCATTTCCGTGGTATTCATATTGATTCTGAAAAAGTGTTAAATCATTTAGTATTTCCATGTTGCAGAGAAAGTCTAGATGATAGAGAAGAACCCCCTAGGTTGGAAGCTGTTAACATTAAGCTAGACTCTTGTATTGATCTTCTACAGACAGGTAGGACCATTTTAATATAATGGAGGATGGTTTTTAACCAGCAGTTAATCAAAGAGGCAGCAAGACATGCTTCACAGTCCTCCTGAGAATTGTTCTAATTATAAATTTGCCTTTGGGTGCAAGTGGTAATGCTGTAAATAAAGATATCAGAGCACAACTCCTCATTAATCTTATTTATGCAAACTGTAGTGCAGCAATAAAGGTCAGTTCACCAAGTCATAGCTGTACATATGTATTGTATTATTTTTAAGCCACATATTTTGTCCATACTAAACCCCTAAATGCGATTTATTTGGGAATTTTTAAAAAAAACCAAGTTATGTAACAACTAACAAAAGTTGCACTTTCTGTATATTTAAATAACTTATTTTTCTCCCATTTACTGTTCTTAAATAATGTAAGTAGATGTAATATACCAGCATCAATATGTTCTTGCAATTTGCTTCCATTGCAGAAAGTTGTGTAAAGAGAAAAAAAACGGGGGGGGAAATCTTACAGATGTGTAAAGATTACCATGCTGTTTTACATCAAGAAAAGAAGCAACAAAATGACTTCTGTGTGTATGAAAACAATTCTACAATTATGTACTGTTGTTCAAAGGAAAATAAAATTCATGTTGATATATTATCTTTTTAACATTCTTTTACACGCTGCAATCAAAATGGAAACGATAAGGCAAAAGAAGACTAGAATTTTGCAGAAGTGTTAAGTTTGAAAGAGCTTTCAGGTGTTGGAAAAGTGTCTTCCTTAGCAATCTGGCATGTAGGCCTCGCGGCTGCCACAATATACCACTGAAAAGTTCAGCTGACAGAGATTCATTGGTATATTTCACTGATCACTTGGGAAAGAGCATTCTGAAGATAGATGTGGAGCTATCATTCCTGGATATTTTCCCAACAAAGATTTTACCAGCCATGGGGTGAAATGGTTATTGATTATGAAACCTATTTTGCAGCCTTCGTTTCAATACTTGGTGTCCTGGGATATCTATTGGTATATACTCCATTTTAAGATTATATTCGGTCTTAATCCATTAAAATTAAACCAGTTGGGATCTGAGATCCTTCAGATTATGGTCCTGAGGGGAGGGAATTATCAAAGCACAGCTTCAAAGTGATGCTCCCCTGGAAATTCAGTCTGGTCCTATTCTCTTATCATTTTATTTATAACTGTTTTTTAAACTTGGCAACTTTTAAGATGTGCGGACTTCAACTTCCAAAATTTCCCAGCCAACATCAAATTGCCAAATTGAAAAACAAATACATTGTTTTCCCAAATTGATACTTACTATCTCCATAAACAGGCTTAATTTAGTCAGGTAATGTTACTAAATTAAATAGTTATTGCTTCAAGTGACTGACTTAGTTTATATTTTTGCTCTTTTACATAGCATTAAATATAGCAGCTAGTGAATGTTCTGTATTTAGTAAAAATACAATGAAAAAGTGCATTTTACACAATGTATATGAAGTATAAACAGTATCATTCCATTCCATGAAATCACCCCAATGGTATTAGTACCTAGGATAAAAATATATATTTCAATTTTTAGTACTGAAGGCTATTACAAAAATTTGCAAAGATACAATACAATATATGGTGGAAAAACTGGGCCACAATTAACAATTATCTAGGATCGTACTAATTTATACACTGCTCAGATTGAACATATCAACTGCCATTTTGCTATCAGTTTGAAATTTTCCCTGGGACGTTTATCTTATTTATAATATCATCTTTTAATGCTTATACAGATTGCAGATAGCTTCCAATGAAGTAAGACGTGACAGTAAAACCGGAATATATGGATAAAATATAGTGAATTTCAAGGAAATATTTTAAAAAATTAAACTTCAAGAACTTTATGAAGCAAAGCCTTCACAGGTAGACCTCACTAAATGGTTGCCCTGTTCAATAAACAAAGTTTCAGTGACATTGAAAAAAATAACTTTACAACCAGTCCTGTTACAATTTACAACTGTTGTAGTATCCCCTCAGTCATGATAGAAATTCAAGCATTTTGCAACTGGTGGGCATTTACTATAACAGCATCCCACAATCACATGATTGACATTTGTCAATCACAGCCAGCATCTGATAATTAATGGAGAATCTGTTAGTAAAATTGCCCAATTGCAATCACGTGCTATCTTAAAGACGGTGGGTGTTTCTTCTTAATGATGCTGGAACTGACATCATTAGTCTGTTGTGGTTTTGTGGTGTTTTTCTTAATATCAGTTGCTTAGTGATGAAGTTTTTGCCAGTTTCAATTGTGGTCATTCAGTAAGGACCACCTGTATTAAGTTGTAAAAGATAAGATAGGGATTACCATCTATCTAGTAGGATGTTCCATCGTTAAAGAACAGACTCTTAGAAAAGCCTCACTTTCAGTCAAACAAACCTGTCTTTCAGATTTAGGTAACTGTCAGGCAGCCCCTTCTCAACTTTATCAATCATAAAAAAAGGGAGAAATCAGCAAAAATTGTAAGCGTCCTTCCTCTGCAAAGTTAGTTTGTCATCCATCTTCATCCCTGACTCAGCAGTTCATTCCTGCAAGAGGGCAACTTTCCAGCAAATGGAAAGAGGGCATTCCCTGCAGGCATTGTTATACTTATGATACAGCCACAGGCTGTATTTAAGCTACTTTTCAGTAACAAAATAGAAATAAAGAACAGCATGACTCTTAACAGTCCATCCTTTCCTATATTCTTTTAACAAGAGAAGAGTTATGTCTTCTGAAGAGGCTGCAGCTGAGGTAGTTTTGGAATCTTGTCAAAATGAACGTATTTTCTGTTCCTTCTGTGATGGTATAAGCCTGATAAAATTTAAGCAAAATTACTTGTGGATTTACAAGAATATATACAGAAGTAAGGAAGTTGCTTTCAGAAAGCCATCTACAAACATTCTAACACCGTGGTATCAATCTGGCGTGGGCTTGAATGCATCATGTGCAGGACACGCTCACTGCAGCTCCAAGAAGGGGGGTGGAAATCGTGAAATGTCATATGACGACAACTTGATGTTGCGAGTTTGACACCAGTGTTCTAACAGAAGTGAGGAAATGCCTTAATGATCTTGGATCCTTTCCAGCAACTTTGATATAATCCAGATAATCATCATGAACATTTTTTGGATAATGTGGAATCTATAGAAATTGCTATAAAAAAGTAAATTCAGATTTTTAGAGATGGCAAAATATTAATACTCTAATCTTCTTGGCAGCTGTTTGGTTTCCAGACTGTCCTGTTTCCAATCTATTCCAAATACCGCATTTTTCGAAGTATAAGATGCACCGGACTATAAGACGCACCTACCTTTTTTGGTGAGGAAAAGAAAAAAAAGAAATCTGCCTCTGCCTCTGAGCAATTTTGCTTCGTTGCAGCAAACAGCAAACAGCCTGCTTTACTTTCATTTTTGTTTTCAGCATAGTTTGATTACCACAAGGGGGAAAAAAATCTGCTCCAGCAATTTACCTCTTTGCAGCAAGCAGCAGAGCCCTGCGCAAAACAGCTGAGAGCAAATCAGCTGAGAGTCAGGAGACCGATCCAATCAACTTATGCTAATTAGGCTGTACTGAAGCTGAAAGGAGCTGTTTTTTCTTGCTATTTGCTTGCAAGGAGGTAACTGCTGCGAAGCAGAGGCCAAAGGGTGGGGGCCAGTGGGTGGGCGGGGCTACATTTGGTGTATAAGATGCACCTAAATTTTCACCCCCTTTTAGGAGGGAAAAAGGTGTGTCTTATACTCTGAAAAATACGGTAGTTAAAACAATCCAATGGCTGCTTAGTTAACCAAGATGTGACAAAGTTGAATGAAATGTGGATTTTGTCTGGAAAAGAATATCCCTAAGGAATATTTCACAGCAAATACTTCTTTCAGACTATTTTTAAAATATTCTTGCTCAATAAAATGGCAAATCTTGTTTTGTGAAAATTATAAAATTGCAGTGGATTGAACATGAAACAAATAAGACAGCCATCAGCAGATTCATTCTATGAGACAGGCAGTGATATAAGTTTTGTAAATTAAAACAAGAAGACTTGTGGGAACTAATAGTCTCACAGAAACACCCCAGGGCACTGACCAGATCTCTGTTCAATTTGATTTTGGCTTAAACATTCTTTTAATTGAAAATAAATTAAAACAAGAAACTGGCTTGCTGCAGTCACAGCCACCAGGATCATCTTGTTTTTTTTAAAAAATACTTCTAAACCCTAAAGCCTATGCCTCATAGGCATTCTTTAAAAATAAAATAAAATAATGAGAAAGCATAAAAATAACTATGCATGTATAAATAAATTAATAAAACAACAAGTGCCTAGAGCAAAACCTTCAAAAATTTGCTCACATAGGCGGTACAAATAAATGGGTATATTATGAAAAGTTGGGAAGATGAAAAGATGGCGCCATTGAAGTCTAAAGGAGTAGTGGGGTCTAACATTTTGAAGTTGCTTTTGACTGTTTTATGAACACGGTACCATTGCATTCATAGGCCCTGAAACAAGGCCCTTACTTTGGTCCCAAGAGAATGTCTATCATACCTTATTTTTCTTCATTAGTGAGCAAACGTTACCTACTTAACCCCCTCATTGCTTGATCCAGGCTTACTAGTCATCAAATGGGCTAACTTACATAATGTGTCCAAAATCAAGCACCTGTGACTTCCTGAAGCAATGAAATTTGGGAAATCTGTGGCTCTTTCAGTGCTACTGGCTGCTGCTGCTGGAGTCATGTGATTTTCATTTTTAATATTCCATGATGAGTTTCCCAACTAGTCTCGCAATCTCTCATTCCCTCCCCCAGGCAACAGTAGCCATTTACCTGAGGGGAGAGGGGGAGGGAGGGAGGAAGGAAGGAAGGAAGGAAGGAGGGAAGGAAAGAAAGATTTCCAATGTTCCCTGTCATAGTCCCACAAGAAAACTCAATGGTGAAGCCAGTAGGAAGTCACTCTTACTCCCACTGTTCTTTGCCCACACCAGGGGTGGGTTCCACTTACCTTCGCTACTAGTTCACAACGGGAACATGCGTGCGCTTCTGTGCATGCACAAAGCGTCCGTGATGATGTCTGGGTGGGTGGGCGGAGCCTCCCACCGCCATTACTACTGGTTCACAAGATCCAGACCAAACCGGTAGCAACCCACCACTGGCCCACACTTGGTCATTTTGTTTCTCTGTTTAAATAAGGAAATAGCTCTGAAACTATGACCCAACCGATAATGGGTTGTCTAATGGTATAATGGTATATAGTATCCTGACAGGTTGGAATTATTTAAATTCTGTGTTAAAGCATGACCTTAGTTGACAATTATGAAAAAGTACCTGCTGATATGGTTTCATCCAATGAAAAGATCACCCAGATAATTCTTAGTTGGATTTAATGAATGTAAAGGACAACTAAAATAATTGCACTAAGAGCCAATGAATGATGACATCTAAATGCACCACAAATTAGCTAAGGGCTGGTTCAGAACAAAACTAGTGTCTATTTAATTCCTGCAGGAATTAAATTTGACACCAGGAAGAATCAGTGAAACCATTCTAGAAAGAGCAAAGAAAGGAGAATAAAAGTGTAACTTGAGAAGAAAGAAATCTTGATTGCTATCAAAATCAGAAGCCATGGACAAGTATTT